TGGATAATTATGTATGGATGGAAGAGAAAATTGCTAAAAATCCTCTAGACAATTATTGGATACAGGTTGGCTATTTGCCAAGTCGTTCAAAAAACTTTTAGAGAAAGAGAGTATTTTTAGGTGAACATGACCATCAATCACCTGCTTGGTATGATTGACGGCTACGATGCACAACTTGGGCGTCGACTAGGAGTTCAGGAAATTGTTTCACATCCTCTATTGTTAGTAAATTAGACGTTTTATGCGTTACCTTGGGTAAAAGTAGATTTTTTCAGCCTCATCCAGCTAGCTGGTGACATCGAAGATTTGGCAATAAAATTCAAGAAACCAGAAACTCGTAGAAGTCGATTGGCGGGCACTGGTCATTGCTCAGCACTAGTAAAGGTCAGTTTTTTTTAAAAGCGCGAAATCATGTTTTGAAAGAGAGTAACTCAAGTGATATGCGTGACTTATTCTGCTTGATAAATGACAATTTTTTATGCCTAAAATATAGGAAAACGCTTAGGAGAGTAGTCGCTAATTTTCAAAAGCGCATCTTATAAATCGGAATATTTTGTGCTCATAAAATATGCTTTTGATTAGATTCTGAGAGCTTTACGGTGGAAATTATAATTTTTTCTTCCTTTTTGAAAAATACGGTTTGTATTCCTTTTTTTCAGTTGTGGAGAGTGAGGGAAAACTAAATCTTGAGTATGCCGGGTGACATCGGATGAGAGCTAATCAATCCAAAGAGCTTACTGTAACATTTTAGGTACTCCCTGATCACTCTGATATTTACTTTTCGCATGTGACATGGGCTTCTTATTCTTCTATGCTACGTATGCAGAAACGCTATACTTTTGCCACTTCAGATCCTGGAAGAAGCTATGCTTTCAGTGGTTATCCAGGTATGGGCGTTAAAAATTGAGCCATGAAGTATTTGACCATTTCTTCGCTCTTTTAAGGATCTATTCCATCTGTCGATGATTTCATAGTCACCTCTTCTCGCTTGGCTATCTTGGAGACCACTATCAGTAATTACAACGAAAAGCTGGATGAGTACATGACGCCAGAAAGTGTATTATGCTGGATTAGGACGCAGGTTTGTCTATTTTAGAAGAAGAGAAAGTGATGTTTATTTTTGTTAGTTCGGAAAAAAGATGTTGATTGTTTACTCTAAAAAAGTGATGAACAATTTTTTGCATTTATAATTACGGACCTGCAGGTGGCTCATCGTACTGCCTCATCTGGTGTCCGATGGGCGAAGACATTTGCAAAATACAATTCTGGCACCTACAACAATCAGTGGAACATCCTTGATTATAAAAAATTCCGTCAAGGTCAGCAGGACAAACTTCTCCATGGTCTGCTGCATGTGTTGGAACAGCTACCGTAAGTTGTCGTTCGGACCAAA